TTTAATGCATTATCATCAAAAAATTGAAAGTGAAAATTGTTGATCACGTATTATTGCAGGATTAATTTGTATGTTAAAATTGATACGTGAACTTCGGAGGCCCATATCTCTGCGAATATTTGACCAATCAAGATCATTTTTGAGCGATTAGATAGGTCAAGACTTGGGCTTTCATATGAATATAGGGTTATTATAGTAAAAGTCTCATATTTAACATGTGATCATCAAAAAATACTAAAAGTGAAAATCATCAATCCGTATTTTCGTATGATTGGTTTAGAAATCTCGCAAATATTGAACCAATATAATAATTTACTCTATGAATGTGATCAAGATATTGGGAATATAGGATTTTTTTATATATAAAGGTATGCTGTTAAGAAGATTTAGCTTCATAATTTTGATAAAAACTTGTGTATTTATTTTTATTTACACTTGAACTTGTGATTATAATAAGAATTTATGTATTTTATCTTTATTATGTTTATACCCTCCTTAAAGATGAACCAATAAGATTTTAAGATTACTTATGTCGATATGTTATAAATACATCAAGGAATTTGATCTGACAGATCAACTTTCTCAAGTTAAATATCCAATTAAACATGTCTTTTATTAAATCATTATCCCTTAAATTATCTCGAAAAATTCCTTTTATTAAAATCAAAAAATCATTTCAAGATAATAAAATTGAATCTGAAATACCATTCGATAATGAAAATTATGATAATTCATGGGAGTCATCGGAGAATGATGATACCCCATAGAACGAAGGTGATAATCCTCAAGAAAACGAAGATATCTATCAAGAAAATGAAAATACTTATTAAGAAAATGACACAAAAAATCAAGATATCAAGGAAAATAATATATCAAGATATTTTATTATATTATTTTTAATTTTATTTACTTTACTAAATACGATATATATTCTATTAATATTTATTATAATAGTATTTATATTATATATTTATAATTTATCAATAGAATCTTTTATTGATTTACCATTCGAAACACGTATTAATCCTTTTGAATTACTATTTTCTCAACGAAGCATTAATACGTATTTTCGAAATGGTACATCAGTAGAAGATACTATTGATGAATTAGTTAATGGTACTATAAGCCCTGGTTATATCGAAAAGATCAGGGTTTGTTTTGTTAATAATAGATTACATACTCTTGATAATCGTTGTCTATATTGTTTTCAAGAAGCAATGCGACATGATGCTAATTTTAACACCATTCCAATCTTGATAATCAGTACGCATGACTCAAGAAACAATATAGAATGGAAGATGCGAGAGTCGAAATACTATAAATTAGTACAGCATAATAATTAGAAAGATATTATAGTTAGCCTATATTCACGTTCAGGTTATTATAATATTTAATTAATTTATTATTAAATTTTAACATGTATATAATCATAGTTTTAAATATTTAAATATTATATTCATTGATCAAATTTGAGTTTGTCAAACTTTTAATCATGTGATAATTATATCGCGATATTATATTCATTGATCAAATTTGAGTTTACCAAACTTTTAATCATATGATAATTATATCGCAATATTATATTAATTGATCAAATTTGAGTTTGCCAAACTTTTATTCATGTGATAAAATAAAATTTATACAGTTGTTTCCAAAAGTTTGAGACCACTTATTAATAAATAAAACTAGTATTAATATATAACATATACGATAATTTTTGATTTAATGATTTAAATATATTTTTTTATAAATTTATAAGACTTATTTTTAAATATATCTAATTTTCGAAATAATTTAGAAAATATGTATGTGAAAATTTTTTCAAGCATATTTTCGAAATAATTTGAAAATATGCTTGTGAAAATTTTCTCAAGCAATAATGCCAGGACACCAACAACCTGGACAGGATTGATTTTAATGTCGGATTTAAACTTTGTTTTTTTTTATATTTGAAATATCTAAGCCATACATCTTTAATTTCGTATCATTCTTCAAATGAACAATAATAATCAACAAATATCTTCATTAAATTTGAAGTGAATCAAGTTTTATTTTGTTTCGTGTATTAGAAATGTTCTTGATAATGCCAGGACACCGACGACCTGGACTGGATTGTGTTTAAGGTTGGATTTAAAATTTGTATTTCTTTAAGATGTCAATAAACATATCGATATGTTCATTAAACATCTCAATTCAAATTTTTACTTCAACTTGTTCTTGAAGTAATATTCGATTTAATGCGTCAAGTTTATTGATGTATAATCCCATGATAAAGAATCCAATAAGAGAAAAAACGATTATAAGTATAATCGTTATTTGATAATATGAAAGGATTTTTTTAAGTCTGAATAATTCACCATAAATATTTGAAACTTGTTCGATAAGATATTCTTTCTCACAAGGAGAAAGAGTTTGTTGATTTTCGAAAGACATTTTATTAAATTTAAATTGAAGGATTTTAAAGATTTGTGTGATTAAAAATTGAATGTTTGAAGTTGAATCAAATAATGTAAGAGACCTTTTTAAAATATTTGTTTGTATGAACACAAGATGCATCTGAAGCTCATTACGTCTTGCCAAGACACTTGATAAACCTTAAATAGTAAAATTCTTATCTGTCATATCTTTCAGTAACGCCTTGAGTATCCTATGACAATCATGCCGAAGTATGAAATTACATATTTTCATCTATTCTTTTTTATTTATTTTATATGTTCGATATAGAATAGGAGGTGTAAATAAATTCAAGTTTGCCAAACTTTAGATAAAAAGATAACCATAAAAGGTTATCTATACTTTATAAAGTATAAATATATCAAGTATCTCAGTAATAGAAAGGTAAAATGGGAAAGAAATACATAACTGATTGGTATGGTGATAAACATGACTGTCATGGGATATTTCGTAATCAATTGCGTGTCTTTAAAAAAAATAGAGTTAAATATATTGAGGTTAAACTTAATGCAAAATATGTAATATTTTGTGACTTTGAAGATTATAAACTTATCATTTCATTAACTTGGCATACAAGACGTGGGTGTGGAACATATGCCAAAAAGAGAAAGGATTATATTCATTGCGAAGATTATAATGGAATAGTTTTTCATCATTTGAAGTGTCCAGATTGGAGGATTGTAACTCACATTAATCAAAATCGATTGGATAATCGTCGATTCAACTTATCCAATAATTATTCGTCAAAAAAATGTAAAAGGGATGATATTTCAAATGATATATTTGATGTATTATTTTATGACGAATCAAGAGGTGTGTGGAAGGTCACGTGGTGGGAAGATAAAAGGTGGAAAGATAAACTTTTTATTGGATTAAAAGATGATAACGATATCAAAAATCAGGCCATCTAATTTAAGAAATCTATTAATAATCAATAGATCGTAGTAGAAGAGATATGTGAAGAAATTGATAAAGATCGTGAATATGAAAGATTATTTGATGAATTCATTCAATATGATAATGTATTATGAACGTATTAATCAATAAAGATTTTATCATTGTTATTGTTTACTTTTTAGTATTAGTGTACGAGTATCTTTAAATGTATTTAAGAGAGTATTTTCATATCTCAGTATAATTAGATATTATTGATTCGAATTAATCAAATTAATCAATTTGAATTAAATCAAATTTAATTCAATTATTTTAGAATTAAGTCAATACCGTGCTATAAGCGCAGTAAAAATAAGTTTATTAAAATAATTTTATATTATTTTATACGTCTTAACCCTAATCATAACTATAATCAAATATTAATTCGAATCATGATATTTCTTTAAATATTATAGTAAATAGAATTTTGAGATCTTTCGATTTAAGATTGTTAAGTTATATATAAGTTATATTGATCACAAAATGGACAATTGTTAGGTTTAAATATGTTTACATATGTCTTGTAAAATTCATCCATTTCCACGTTAATGTTATAATTCAATAAATTCAAAAGTATTCTTTCGCACTGATTAATATTTTGTAAATTAATACCTAATAAACTAGAGAATTCACTATTTTTAATGGAATTATCATAAGATATTTAAAGAATAGAATAATAGAAGCAATAAACATTGTTCTTCGTTCTTTAATAAATAAGATATCATTCATATAGGTATTTTCGGGTAGTGATTTAGAACCATCTATAATTTCTTTAATTCTTGAAATGTAAAGAAGAGCTATCGTAAGAATATTATCATCATATTTGATATTTTTCAGGATTTTTTTGATAAGATCATAGATTTCTTGATCTGGATTTTTATCGAATATTTTACTCAAGAAGATAACAGTTTTAATTGTATAAAAATAAATTTCATTTTAATCCATTTTGTTCAGTTATAAATTTGATATTGTGTTTGGTTTGGATAGATTTTGGTTTTGAACCACATTTTTTTTGAGATTTAAAGACACATTCAATACTATTTGATGTACAATATTGACAAGGTTTATTTGAATTACAACGTCTTTTTTTTTTAACACAGTTGATACAAGTGTTTGAAGTTCTTGTGATAGTAATTTTATAGAGCACGGTAAAAAATCAAGGGAATTTATTTGAAATTTATGTGACGCAATAATGGAGATAACCATAAAAGGTTATCTAATTTTTATGGTATATATATATCTAAAGTGTATTGGAAAGGTGATAGGTAAAATGCGAATTTACAAGACTGATTGGTATAGTGGTTGACGTGATCGAAAAGGTAGTCTTCGCAATCAGATACATGAATTTGAAGAAGATGGTAAAAGATATCTTGAGGTTAAACTCAATGATAAACGTGATAGTGTCATGCTTTGTGATGTGAAGGATCATGAGATTGTTATCTCACGAATATGGTATGCAAGAACTAAAGGACATGGACTTCGTTATTATTGTATGGATAAAAATGGAAAATCATTTCATCGTGTGTTATGTTCTCAATGGACCATCGTAAGTCACTCAAACCATAACACCTTGGATAATCCTTAATTTAATTTATTTGATGGCTATATTCGTTATGATTCAACCAAAAATTGTTTTAGAACTGATGGTATATATTATGATAAGACAAGAAGGAGGTGGAGAGTTACTTGACAAGAAGAAGGAAAAAATAAATGTAAGTATTTTCGTGGTTCGGAGAATGATAAAAATGTTAGGGAACAAGCGATTCAATTTCGAAAGACTATTGATGAGCAACGAACTTTGAAAAGAATATGTGTGGATAACGATAAAGTTGATAATGAGCAAGTATCGGTTCAGATGGAAGATCAATCATATAATCAAATTCGTGTTCTAGAAGAAGGAGGCGTAAAGTATCTTGAGGTTAAACTTAATGATAAATATAATCACGTGATGCTCTATGATATCGAAGATTATGAACTTGTAATCTCACGTAAATGGTATGCTATGAGTAAATTCAAGAGTGAGGATGAGTGTTATCATTGTGTGGATAGAGATTTTATAGCATTCCATCATCTACTGTATCCTCAATGGGCAGTAATTAGTCACATTAATCGAAACCGATTGGATAATCGATGGTTCAATTTATGTAATGGTCGTATTCATGCAAAGACATATAATAATAACAAATCTGGTCATAATGGGGTGTTCTTTGATCGATCAAAGCGAAGATGGGTAGTTACATGGTTTAAAAATCATAAAAGTAAAGTTAAATACTTTCCTGGTACTGAGAGTGATAAAGAATCAAAGAATGAAGCAATTCAATTTAGGAAGTCGATTGATGCTCAGCGTATTCAAAATATAACATCTAAAGTTAACGATTTAGAGGAAGGTGAAATTTATGATCCGATGGAATATGAGGATATCAACAAAGATCTTAGTGATCATGGTTATACTCAAGAAGATGAAGATCAGATTTCGAATTTTATAGAATTGGAGGAGAATAGCATTGATATCGATCATGGTGATATCGATCAAGAAGGGATTTTTGATATTGAATTAGTACCAATGAATACTTCAGAACATGTGAATAATCAGGAGTATAATGTGGAAGGGGTGTTCGATTTTGAGAAGTTTAACGATGATCAATTTAGCGAACAAAGTTGGATTGATCGATTTTTAGATATGTAATCTGATAATAAATTTATAAATAAAGTTATCATTTTAATAAAAAAAAAATGTTATTTTATGATTTTATTGATCAAATAAAAGAAAATGTAAAGATGCGAAAGAGAATTATATAGAAGAAGAGAGAGAGAATTATTTGAATTTTGATTATTATTTTATTGTATTTTACTTTAAATTGATAGAAAAAAATATATTCATTACTATTAAAATGATTATGATTGATAAAATGATAAGAATTTATTATAATTATCTTAGAAAGTTTACATGTGATTGATAATTTATTATGTAATAAATAATATGTTTGTATGATAAGATTTGATTGTCGTTTTCTATATTTAGTTTTAAATAATGTTCTACAAGTATAAAATCTTATGTTATTACTTATCTTTGTTTTCAAAAATTACAAAATACGGATACTTGAGCATGATCTCCTCGTGGTGTATCTGGATTTTAATCAACGATGCTTAATTTCCTCCCTACTTTGCTTTAAATTTCTTGAGGTAAATACGTTTTTTGATTCTATATTTAGTCTTCAATAATATGTTTTATGGTGCATTAATAGTATAAATTTAAATCTTAATCTCAGTTTCTGATAAGATACCATGCTATCCTTCGAAGGTGAGTAATCAATATTTCATTCGAAAAATGTTATCATCTGTTGCTAAAGGTACTATTTATAAAAAAAAAGTTACAAAAAGACTATAGTATTCTCAAATTAAATGTAAGAGGGTTGGTGGACCTCACGATAATGGTATTGATATCAAAGGAGAATTTTTCAATATTCCTTTTGTAATACAATGTAAGAATTGGAAAAGACCTATGGGTGAGTTATTCACTAAGTTTTATCATAGAAATTATGAGATTGAAAGCACTTCGTGATCACATTCTTGAAATAAAAAAGTGTGCTTATGTTTTAGAGATTTGAACGTTCTCTCATAATATCTGGATAATGGATTTCCATTAGATGACGGAGTCTTGTTCATAGTTCTTGAAAAGACTTACGAGATTGAAAGTACATAGTTGGCCAAATCCGACAAACACTCAAGGAGTTCATTGGTTTTATTTCTAGATAGTAAATGTTCTTTCATAATATTTCGATGAACTTATTAGTTTTTAAATTTCAGGTCCAAATATAGTTAGAGAAATGGAAGGAACACTATTGAAGCTTTTGAAACAAACGATTGAATTTATAGTTCATTCAAATTTTGATTATTATTTTATTGTATTTTACTTTAGGAATTTTATTCGAAAAAGATATTGCAAGAAGATTAAAGAATGCTGATATTCATTATTGTCGTATTGATGGTTCAAATGATTATGGTATTGATATAGATGCTGATATATCTAATATTCATTTTATTATTCAATGCAAGAATTGGGAAAATCCAATAGGTGAATATTAACTTACGAATAATTATTTTTATTATATGAGAGAGTCCTAGCCTGTAGTTCTCAGGAGGATTGTATGGATTTGAAAGCGCATCGTGACCACTTTGGATTGATATATATGTTTAATCAATGTATATATCTAGCATTGTGAACATTCGTCTGTATGTCTTAATTATAATGGAAATTATTATTCATATAATATTATCAATTTAGATATAAATATTATTCGTGAATTAGAAGGCACTTTATCACAACTTCCAAAAGGATGAATTGAAGTTTTGGTGATCAATTCTAAGAGTTTTTATACACCAGCTGTAATTAAAAAAGCAAATGAGTCAAGTTTTGATATTATTTTAACTGATGAAATAGGTGTATGTAAAGAATTAATGAAATATTGTCAAATTTTGGGAAACGTTATTCAATTGACGAGACCTTAAGGTCAAAAATAGAGTGAATAGTTCGCATTAGTAAAGAGGCATCATCTATGGCATAATTTTTTTAAAAATGTATAAATATGGAGTTGGTTCGTGATTTTTTTTAATAAATGGACCAAGGTTATATTCTTGATTTATTGATTATACTTTTTATGTTCGAGTGTTGTTTTTTATTATTCATTATCATAGTATATGCGTCACAAATTGGTAAAGGGTTTATTTCTATTCAACATATTCAATAGGTATTAACATTATTTGCAAAAAAAAATTTTACATCATTAATCAACCATATTGAGGGTTTGATACAATCTGGCGTCAACTAAGGTTTCAAGTGGTAAATCAAAGAAACAAGGTGTTCCTAAGAGGCAAGGTACAAAGAAACGGGATACTAAATCGGTGAAAAAATCTATCAAAAAACAAATAGGTGTGACCAGGAAGAAGAAGGTATCATCTGATTTTATCAATATGACCATTAATAAGGTCGAAATCAGGTGTAATCATAGCTGTATTTGTTGTTTTCCCGGAAAAGAGGGTTCTTGTCTTTCGAATTGTTCTTGCTGTTTCTGACTGACGAATACCAATACGAATACTGTAAACAATATCTCGTCAACCTCAACCTAGCTTTTGTCCGCCAATTTTTCCAGAGTTATCTGAATTAGAGAAACATTGCGGGGTGAGACTAAAAGTAGAAAGTCAAAGAAAATATAATTTAGTGATTCAAAAGGTGTTCGATCAACGAGATGTTAATAATATACTACTTAGTGCCGAAAAGAAATCAACATTTTTATATTGGCCTTCAATGTATTATATTTTGAATATGTTATTTCAAGATATGCCAGTAAACAATAATACATGTAATAAGTTCATGTTAGATTTTTATTCCCTTTGGAGAGTCAGGGTATATGAAAATAGAAATGATACTGGTTCGAGTCGAATTGCACTTCCTTTGTCGGTCAATCAGGGTGGGGAAAAGAATGATAAGATCAAAATTAGTCCGATCAAGATGACTTTTCATGTCAGAACTTTGATAATTAATGTATCTACGACTTGTGAGCTTCCGACTTCTAATGTTGAAGAGAATAGACGACTGGTTGCAGATACAGTATTTGAGGATTTAAATGATTTGATACATAGTTCAATAAGAAAAAATTACTTTGTGGTATATGATAAGATTCACGAAGTTCAGTGTGTGGACTGTGATCAAGAGGTGTATATTTGTGATTTGTGGAATATAGATAAAGAATGGTATGTAACTCAGACCAGTACGATTCAAGAAAATCGATATATCAGATTTAATACCGGATTTTATTATTATATTCAAGTTAATGATCTCGATGAGATGTATAGAATTTTGAGATATAAAAATTATTTAGATGAGGCTCAAAGATATTCTATTGATCATGAACGTGACACTGATAGTTATTTGAGAGGCCCACCCGGTGTAGTATTGGAGACTATTACTGCAACTAGATATATTGATCTGAATAGTACAAATTCTCAAGCTATAGCATCAACAATGGATGCTATGTATTCGATGGTAAAAAGTGTAAGAGAAGATATTGATATGCTCAAAAGAAATAGAGATAATCATGATGCTGATGATAATGATGGTACTAAGAATAAAAAGTAAGAATTAATGATATATATATTTTTTGAATTTGTTGATTAATTTTTTAACAGATGTTTTTGTATAGACCAAGATCTGAACAGGAATAATGGTATCGATAATTATAACCATGATAATAATATCGAAAATAATAATAATGATGATAACGGTTATAATAATAATGATCCTAATAATGATAATGATGATAGCGGTTATTATAATAATGATCCTAATAATGATAATGATAAGAGTTTACATGAAGATATATCACAGTTACCACCTGCATCTATCGAAAATACAAATGGGTTTAAATTTGAGGACAAATCAGAAGTTAGTTATATTAGCTATATACCTTGTGAAAAAGATTTTTTACCTAAAGATATAGTAGATCACATTGTATGGCATTTTGAAACAAATTCTCTTCAATTCAAGAGTGACGTAGGAAGAAATCTTGGTATCGATATATCATTTAGCAATTCAGTGATATTTAATAAATTTAGAAAGAAACCAATAGATGAGGAGATTGAAAAGTTAGTTATTGAAGTTAGCGAATTGATCGATTTGTTGAACATGTGCCGGATGATACCAAGAAAATTATTTTTGAAAATTTTTCAATTTTTATCGTAGTTTTTGTTTCCATAGCTAGGTTATCAAGGTTTATACATATCATTCGATAATTGTTAAATGGGGTTCTCATTCCTGTATAAATAGACATGTTTTATTTTTTTATTTCAATAAAAAAAAATGTGATCAATTATTATTTTTGTAATTTTTGCAATTATGATGCTTCATTGTGAAGCAAAAGTTTCGAATTATCATTCAAAATATCGACATCCATGTGGTTGTAGAACCATGATCGATACACGTGATCTAAGAAAAGATCTAAAAATGTAAGGGATGTGACCATATGTACTGTATTTTCGATATTTCAAATGTCAATCCCAATCTTAACAACCATATCAGAAATTTTATATAATAAAAATAAATGTATTGAATTTTTATTCGAAGAAAATATTTTATACAAGGTTCAATCTTGTTTTATATGTGATTCCTCAGTTCATTTAGATGGAAAACTTTTTAGATATAATAGTGGTATATGTCATGGATCTGTATCAATATACAAAGATTTATTCTTTTCAGGTGGATGTATTAGTTGTTCAAATGTGATGCTTATTGGTTATTATTGGTTATGTGGAGCCGATCATACAGTTATTTCGAAGATTACTGGTTATTCTCCAAATACCATTATTCGATATACACAACTATTTTGTGAATTGGTAGTTAGTACTCTTGAAGATGAAGATGATATTATAGGTGAAGAAAATGTGATCGTAAAGATAGATGAATCAAAGTTTGGTATTCGAAAGTATCATAAAGATCGATTGATTAATGGTGCATGGGTGATTGGGGGTATTGAACGTAATGATAAAAGAAAGATGTTTTTGAGAGTTGTGGAAAAGCGAGATGCTGGTACTATTAGAGATATTATTGTAAGATATGTTAAACCGGAATCTATAATAATGACTGATTGTTGGAGAGGATATAAAGATCTTGAAGAATTAGGGGTTACTCAT